TTTGAGCGCGGCTTCGAATTGAGCTCGGCTTTGAATTGAGCGCAGGTTTGAATTGAGCGCATGTTCAATTCGAGCGCAGGTTTGAATTGAGCGCAGGTTTGATTTGAGCGCGGGTTTGGACTGAGCGCAGGTCTGATTTGAGCGCAGGTTCGATTTGAGCGCAGCCTGAATTGAAAGCATGGGTTTTGGTGGTCCTGAGAGGGGAGCATCATCACTCATCACTTAGTAAACAATTTTTCCCCTTCTTTCGAATTGTTCCCAGGAAAAGATTCTCGAATGCCAGGATCAAGGGGCGGAGAATCGAGAATAATGAGTGGCTAGATAACTCTTTTCGTGCATGATAAATCACAAGTTAATTTATTTTCATGTACAAGGGTCAAGAATCACGAAAACACCGGTGGTGACCTGAGGACCGAACGACCGCAGCGTGTCTCGACGGTCGGGATCAAGTTAAAACGTGATATTGTGTGCGATTGCACGGAGGAACTGGAGGCTATCACGTGCCTCATACGTTGAAACCAATGCGTAGATCCTTGCTTGACGGTCCCGGTATTTCTTCTTCGATGTGGTGCCAATGCCCTGAGCCAGAGAGTTGGAAGCAATGAACTCAACTTTTCCTTGCTCAACCTTCAGGTGTTCTAACAATTTGAACACTGACGGGTGAGAGGATCCGACTCTTCTCGCGAAAGCGGAATGCCATCCCTCAACTTCGTTATTCGTTCGTCCCATAGAATTGAGCGTTGAAGAATGAACATTCCACCACTCCACTTTCATCGTCGGTGGGTTTCTGTTCCAGCCGACCCATTGACTTTCAAAATAATTTATGAAATCAGTGAGCAGTGCCTCGTTCGTTCGGACGAAATCGGAATCGGTCAGCGTAGCAAAGAGATCGCGTACTTGATCTACCGGAACATAAGAGAGGGCCGGAAACATTCGTAAACCCAGAGCAAAATCGGCATCGCGCAGGTAGTTAGCTCTCAGCTCGCTATCGTTCTGCACGCGTCGCCATATACATTGACAGAAGTGAAATGAGCATCCGAGAATGCCAGCAGCTGGAAAGACTTTTTCAAGCTCTCTGATCATTGCCAGTTCGAAGTCAATGTGGATGGCGTCCGGATGAAATCCGTCGATCGCATCGAGGAGAATTTGCAGTAGTCTGCGATAGGTCTGAGCGTTCTTCGCTGGCAACAGTGAGTAAACAACCGGCACCGTTTTACCGTCGGGCAATCTTACATGGAATGTGTAGAGCTGATGGAAGATGAGTGGACAAACCTTAAAGGTACCATCTACGAACCACTCAGGACTCATTTTTAAGAGCTCGAGATTCTTTGCCGTGGCGAAAACGATAATTCTGTTCACGTCTCCTACTCCGGAATCGTAGTGGACGAATCGTTCGCCGCGGAAGGTCGTCTTCAGAAACTCCGGGATTTCCAAGTCCTCTCGCCGGAGCGGATTTACCGGGAGCGACGGTCCTGCAGCTGCTCTAGCATACGTTATCCGCTGGCGCATCAAGTTGATGTTTGGCATTTCCCCTTTCACGGCTTCAGAATCTACTGTGCTGACTAGGTTCCCGATGATCGTTGCGTTCGATGCAGAAACATTCTTTACCGCATACGAACGAAGTTCATTCATCTTACGGCGAACCTCGATGCCCACCGGGCTGGGCGGATGCATGTGTTCACTTGGTCCCTGGAGAAATTCACAGATTTGAAGATTCGAATCGGGTCGCCGATTTGGGAGAGGATCATCATTCCAGAATAGTTTCAAACGCCAAGAGCGAGAATCTTGCTTGACGTGATAACTGTGATTATAATTCCAGTACTCACATCATGTCCGCCGTTGCAGGTTTTCACTCGAGACTTGCATTGCTTGACTATACAACGCCAGTTCGTTTTCCCGTCGTTTTCACGATCCTTACGGAACAGGTGCTCGTCGATCTTCAAGAGAGGCTTCCCGCGGCTTGAATTTATGAACTCCAGAGCCATGGGTTTTCGTTTTCGTCGAACAAACTTCAATCAAGTCTTCGTGCGATCAGACTGGGAGAACTCAAAAATCGATCTCTGCCTTATTTTCCTGAGTAAGTTTCTTTCTCGAACTTACTTGGAGAGATCGAAACTGACTCCGTTCGAGGTGTCCGCTCAATGTCACGCGTCCGGTCACGAGATATTCCGCTCCGCAAACGTCCCTTCCATCTGTTTCGCTTCTCAACGTGCATGCGTGCGAGGTACGTGCTCGTGTACCTTGCTCTGAGAGAAGCTTGCGAAAGGGCCTGAAGAATCCCATCACCGAGGAAACAGTCGAAGCATGAGTTGCCTCCGGTACATTCGCTTCAGATTTTCGATGGCGCCCTTGTTAGCGTCCCTTCTAGCCTTCTCGCAATGACTGCTTCGGATTTCCGGACACAACGTTTTATTTCTGAGAAAACCTCCGGCCGCCGGCTGTGGTCTTCCTACGATGAACATCGAGATCTTTAGTCGCTTTCCGATGTTCCGAGAGCGAAAATTTTCGGCTTACGATTCGCTCGTATGAAGCGCTCAAGTCAGCCTATATCACGCTGCGCTCAAATCAAACCCGCGCTCAAATCAAACCCGCGCTCAAATCAAACCTGCGACTCAATTCAAACCCGCGCTCAATTCGAACCAGCGCTCAAATCAAACCTGCGCTCAAATCAAACCTGCGCTCAAATCAAACCTGCGCTCAATTCAAGCCTGCGCTCAAATCAAGCTCGCGCTCAAATCACGCTGCGCTCAAATCAAATATGCGCTCAAATCAACCGTCACGATGCTATCAAATCATGGGTTTTAAAACGAAAGTGGGGAATCAAAAATTCCGCGTCACAGATCATTCCTGTGAACTCCAATTGCAAAACGTAATTATTCAAACCTTCAATATTTCTTTCTCAATCACAAAAATCCTGAAATATCCAATCCAAGAAGAATAACAATTATCAAACACTAAATATTGATATTTACGCTAATTTCAGTTGAGTTCTGTGATTCCGATTACCGGTGACACCCTCCCAGCCAATTCGACTAATTTTTTGACGATTCAAGAATTGTCCTACGCTCCTATGAACAAGCCGATTGATTTAACGGGAGTAATCTACGAGGTCGGGGATTCCCAAAAATTTTGTTGCAAGGATGGTGTGAGTCGGGCAAAAAGGAATGTTCGAATCGTTGATGATACTAATCATATTATCACCCTGGGTCTTTGGTCGGAACACTCCGACAAACTAAAAAACGCTGAGGGAAAATGCCTAACCATTCGAAATTTAGTTCTTCGAGAATACGGAGGTCGGAGAGTTCTAGCTACAACGACCAATACCTGTATCGAAGAAAACATATCCAATCCAAATCAAATGCATCTCCGGGAGTGGTGGCGTGATCATGGTCTCGAGACCGAGTACCAAGAATTACAAGTGGAAGGAAACGCTTCGGGGGTAATTCCGAATTAAGTACAGCATGTGGTTGAAACAAATCATTTAGCGATAACAGAATTAAGCAATTCGGGTAGCTTCTCGCCGAGTCTCTGATGAAAAGCGAACAACAGTGATGATGGAAGCTAATATTTAAGATCACATATTTATCATGAGATAAATTCGGAAAGGATTTCAAGTGAATAAATTCTTTTCGATCAATCGAAATCGTGACATCAGTTTTATGAATTGCATTATTACGAGTATGGTTCCCGTTTTACAGGATGAATCCTCGGAACACAGCCGCGAAGCGGCGACGGGCTCCGCTAGTTGAACATAAATGGAAGAGATTTAACCACAGTTGTGTGGTTGTTAATGAGTTCGCTATTTGCAAGAACTTGTTTCCTCAGTTCTTCCTCTAGCGCGGAAATTCTCTGCCTTAGCAGATGATTGATATCTGCTAAGGCAGCGGTGTGTTCTTCCGTTGCGCGTGCCATGAAGTTATTCTTCCACGCGCATGCCACACAATTCAGTGCGGCCGTTTTTTCTGCTTCTGAGAAGTTTGCCTCGCATCCTTGGCAAAATTTACGAGACATTTCGGTAATAAATCCGCTTACCGTCTCCGATCGTAGGTTTTGTACTTCCTAGTGATCACAAACCACAGTATTCCCTCGGTTTTCCCTTTTTTTACGATTTTCTCGGAAGCGTTGAGAAAACACGTTGCTATGTTTTCGTCTTAGCAGACGATTTCCAAGAACTCTACGAGAAGATAATAAACTCGAGAATGCCATCCGAATCACAGAAGGTAAAACCGCGATGGGAAATGTCGTTCGAACAATGAATTTTTTCTGGTATAATGTCACGCTCACAAGCGTACATGATCCAGATAAGTCGGTTCAGGTGGGCTGCATCGAGGTACCTTCGATTACCGATTCGACTTACACTAAAGTCACGAACAGCTACGGCCGAAACCGGTCGCAGATCCATACCAGGAGCGGAATCACCCGACAATGCTATCGATGCTTATCGGTAATGATGCTTAGCGGCCATCCATACCGGCACTGAGAAGAGCTTCGGAAGGATTCTGGCGACATCAACTATATTCGGACGGGTTTTCGCCGGACCGTTGAGTTCAGCAGACTCTCAGGCCGACGGCTCCGCACTATTATGCGAATTAAGAGCCACCCTTCCCAGACCAGTACAAGTTGAAAATCGGGTCGAGGTGAAGGCTCACTGCTTAATGACTTCTTCGGAGGACCCCCCGATGCGGAGGTCAGACTGTTCCGTAGACGAAGATCTCTAATTCCTCTGGGACACAGGGAATTGAATGAATTCTTCGAGCACACGATCGATCGTAGTCCGCAGGACAGGTACATCCTCTCACTGCCCTTCAAGGACAACATAGCTTCCATTGGAAATAATGAGGGTTTGGTCGGGTCGCGCTTGTGCTCCTTCATAAGGAAGCTGAAGAAGAATCCGGCACAGTTGGCGGCTGTGGACCAAGAGATTCAAATATACCTGGATCGAGGTTACGCAGAGGAAGCATACCCGATACACGAGGGACAGCTCGCGGATTTCCTTCCTCTTCAGGCCGTGTTCAAAACGGACCAGGATAATAAGATCGTGAAAACGAGAGTCATCAAAGACGCGGGCGCTCGCAGAAGCCACGAGTTATCTCTGAACGATTGTCTCCATCAGGGAGAGAACCTCCTTCCGAATGTGCTCAAGGTTTTGTGCACCTTCAGAACAGGCGGATACGCAATTACAGCCGATATTGAAAAGACTTTCTTGCAATTCGAAATCGCTGAGAGCAACAGAACATTCCTACGTTTTCTTTGGCCCTTGGCGATATCGGGAAATCCCGGCGCCCAAATCAAACAGTTCTGGTCCAGAGTCCTCGATTTCGGCCTGATCTGCTCTCCGTGGTTACACATCAAAGGCGTACGACACCATCTGGAAAATGCAAAGATCAGTTCCCGGAACTCGCTCAATTCATAGACGAGATATCGGAAAACTTATATATGGATGATGTTGCGTTCAAGGCAGACTCTATAATGGATGCAGAGAGGAAGGTCAGGGTTCTTTTCAAGATTTTCGGTCTTAGTAAATTCCCTCTCAGGAAATGGTCGGCGAGCGAGCCGAGGATAGCCGAGATAATCCGCAACCTCTCCCCCCTGGAAGATACCGAGGTTACGTCAGATAAGAGCGATGCTAAACTGGGGGTGAAATGGATTCAGGGAAAGGATGAGATCGGAGTATTTGTGGAGAAGGCGTTATCGGCGCTCTCTACAGAAACACCATCCAAGCGGAGTTTATTGAAGGGTTTGGCACCCGTTTTCGACCCCTTGGGGGTTTTGGCACCAGTGACGGTGCGGGCGAAGTGCGTTTTTCAACAGCTTTGGCGCTTGGGGGTGGACTGGGATGAACGGCTTCCGGGCGAGAATAATCTGGAATATGAAGAATTCGTACAGTCTCTGCGGAAGAATTCGGAGACAAGCATCCCGAGAGCCATCACAGGTCCGTTCACGGCTGGCAGGTATGAACTCCATACATTCTCAGATGCAAGCATGACCGCATACGGATGCGTGAGCTATCTGAGAGCGGTATCCCAGGACGCAGCTCGAACCGATTTCATTATGGCAAAGGTCCGAGTAGTGCCAACGAAATGCGAATGGTCTATCCATCGTTACGAGCTCATGGGAGCACTGCTCGCCGCCAGAGTCACAGATCAAGTCTCACAGTTCATAAAACTGAAGATCGACGGAAAATTCTATTGGTGTGATAACATGGCCTGAATATCGTGGATTCGGAACGATGGAATGCGTTCGTGGCCAATCGAATTCGGGAAATCGACAGGTTATCAGAGCCCTCCGACTGGCGCTACGTGAAGTCGGCGGAAAACCCAGCAGACATAATCTCAAGGGGTTTGGATATCACGTCGCCGACGTATCATCAGCTCTGGTTTAACGGACCAGAGCGGCTCAGAACCATCACATGGAGTGCCGATGCGAACAAAATCGACATCGAAGAGACTGTCGTGGAGGAGAAAAAGAATCCGCTTCCGTGTCTACTGTCGAAACGAGATGACGATCCAATAGAGTCGCTGCTCAGCGTCGATCGGTTTTCGTCATGGAACAAGTTGGTGAGAGCACAAGCATTCTGTAACAGACTCAAGGGTTTCGCTCTTGCAGTCAGAGACAGACTGTCGGCTTCGTCAAAGAGAACCAAGCACGGCCATCTTCCGAGACGGACATCCGAGCCAATTTCGCTCAAATTACAAGCATCCGAACTCGAAGCCGCCGTGATCGACTTGTTGAAGAGAATTCAGCGGAGATATTTCGCTCACTTTATAACCGACTCAGGGCTAAACGTACCCAAATCGGATTCCTTACATCAGTTCGCTCCCTTCATAGGCCAAGAGGGTTTGATTAGATGCAGGTCTCGCCCGGAGAAATCGAAAGAGCTTTCGTACGATGAAAAATTCCCGATTATTCTACCGAGCGATGGAGGCTGGGCGAAACTGCTGATACGATCAATCCATGCGCCCGAATGCTGGCACTGGGGCGGTATCGAGCTCACCCTGCAGAAGATTAGGGGGAGATTCCTGATCCTCAAAGCTAGAAAGTTGGCGAGCGAGACCCTGAGGGCATGTCAAGCATGCAAACGCTTCAATGCTAAACCTGCGGAGGAGACAGCCCCCCCTCTGCCCTCATTCAGAGTTGAGCGAACCCCACCATTCCACTTTTGCGGAGTGGACTTCGCGGGACCCATCTACTGCCGGTCGGATCTCGGCCAGGAAGAGAAATCGTATATCACGTTGTTCACATGCGCAGTCCCGCAAGCATGCCTCCTCGAACTGACGAAAAATTTGACCACTTACGAGGTGCTCAGAGCACTACAAAAGTTCCTGACCAGAAGACCGACAGCCCAACACTTCGTCCCAGACAACGGAGCCTCGTTCAGAAGGGCGGATAAAGAGATCAGACTTGTGTACAAACACATTGCCGATGGGGACTTAGCAGGCTGGCTAATGAATTCTCGCGTTACCTGGACCTTCATAACACCGGCAGCTCCCTGGGTTGGCGGCTTCTGGGAGAGGATGGTCGAAGCGACTAAGCGATGTCTCCATGGAGTCATCGGCAAATCGAAGCCATATTTTAGAGACTTGGAGGTGATCTTATGTGGAGTTGAATCGATAATTAATTAGAGACCTCTAACTCCAGTGTCTACGAATCCTAGCGAGATCGAGGCGCTATCCCCGGCGAACCTGCTTTACGGATATGAAAGAACCACATTTTTTCCGGAAATGTCGGACAGACCAAAGAACAAAGCAGATATCGGAGCTTTGGTTTTCTCGAAGCGGTGGAACTTCCAACAAAGTGTCCTGACCGATTTCTGGAAGAGATTCCAAACGGAGTTCCTGGCATCCCTTCGTTCAGCACATAGCAGAAAACCGGTGAATCAAAGATCGCTACAGACGGGCGAGATCTGCATGCTCAAAGAGGAAAATACGTCCCGCGGTTACTGGCCGCTAGTTCGAATTCTAAAGATGCACGGAGGGAAGGAGTCAGACTCCAGGAGACGCTCATGCACCATTCTCACCGGTCGTGGTCAAACTTTGGTCAGACCAATCCAGCTATTGTATCCACTGGATATAGAGAATCCCGAGCCGCTTCATTAAGGACTTCGCCACACCCATGTGTATCTACTGTAATGTCGCTTAGTCTCTACGTGGGTAACACAGATGTCACGAACTGGTGTTGAAAAGAGTTTATTGAACTTAGTCGGCTAGTCACTCTGGCACACACCTACAACTCCTACACCTACGAACGCTTGCGCTCGAATGAATCTCTCTCTACTTCAAGCTCTGACGTCATTGATGCCGCCGTCACTAACTTCTCGCGCGATCGGCCGCCGATCGTCTCTCTAACGCTCGACTCTGGCGCCCTCTAGCGTGATAATCAATCCACGCACGACTTTCGACCACGCTACCGCGCTGATCTCCCGATCAGCTACTCGGCTAATTCGTATATATCCATCCCCTTACAATAATAAGCTACCTCGCTTTCTTCGAAACATAGCATTCCTGGCTCGCTCTACTTATTCTCTTGAAAACTCTGTGTTCAGCGATCTCTCTACTTCGATTTTATTTTACATAAATAATTCTCGGATTCGATGTTTCGTGTCTCTGCCGCACCCAGCTGGGCACCTATTACAGTAAACGTGCCAGTCTTCGAGGCACGCCCGGCAGAAAACATGCCCGCACACAGCGGCAACTGGGTCTCTCCACGGTCGTTTACAGATGGAGCACTTCCACTCCCTTCTTAGAGCCTCGTCTTCGATCTCCAGTCGCCTCTCTACCAGCTTAGAAGTTTCACTCACTCGCCCCGTGGGTGCGTACAGCGAGAGCGCTTTGACAGCGAACTCGATTCGCGATACTCCCGCCAATCGCAACGCGATTTTGCTTGTGAGATTGGGTGGGGTAGGTCAATGCATCATAACTTGATGACGTGGATTGGTATTGTTGTCTTCACGTATTTCTGGTCTGGGAGCTACCTATTGGAGGGACAATGAATACAGCCTGGTTTCGTGAGTTGCTGCCGTAGCAGGACTGCTTGTCACTCGGAACGTGGTGACGCACGTTTATTGTATCGAGAAGCGCGGTACTTTTGAATCAACGGAGGATCGTCTCCCTAACAACTCTCCCCTCCTTGAAGCATATACAGATATATGAAGTATTATTTTAAGAGATGTTATCACAATATCATTCCGGACAATATTCTTGTGGAGCAACTCCCGCTGTAATTCGAGTTGATCGCCGCGACCCTTGTTGCGAGGATAGGGTTTGGAGTTCGCATCGACGAGCAGGAAGAGGTGTTTCCCGTCGACGGGACCCGCATAATCGAGATGCACCCGGTCGAATGGTTTTTCCGCGGTTTTCCAAGGATGATTTGACCTCGGAGGTTGCTTAGCATGCTCGGCGCAGATCGTACATTCCCTCACCAACTTTTCGATGTCAGAGTTCAGGGAGTCCCACCATACGTAACGTCTTGCGAGTTCTTTCATTTTGTTGGTGCCAAAGTGTCCTTCGTGAAGAACTTCAAGCACTTCGGGTCGACATGTGACTGGAATGACCACGCGATGTCCTCGAAAAATAGCGCCGTTAATGACAGTGAACTCAGAAATGTCGATTTTCCAAAACTTTCTCATCAATGCCGTTGGACCTTCAAGGCATTTCAGGAGCAGCCTCAGATTATCGCAAGTCCGAGTTTCTCTGACTATTCTGAGCAGATCGATGGGTACATCGTCGGCTATCCCAAGGACAAGAACATCCTCGGGCTCCTGATCGACAAAAAACTGCTCACTCTTTACGGGAAGTCGCGACAACATATCAGCATTTCCGTGTTACGGTAAACTATGTCGTAATTGAGTGATTGAAGAAAATGCTGTAATGCGTCATTCGCATGGCAGCAAGTGGTGGTAACGCCTTCGACGGTGACGGTATGGATACTAGAGGTTTGCTGTCAGTAATTAGCGTAAACCGTCTCCCGAACAAATAATTAATAGGAGAATCGGTTTATGCCTTCCTTGATCCCGAGGGCTTCTTTCTCGAGTTGAGTGTATCTATTCTCGGTGTCGGTCAGAGTTCTTGAATCGTAAGAAATGGGGCGTTCCGTATTGTCATCGTATCGGTGTGAGAGCACGGCGGATATTGATGGAGCCCGCGCGTGTTTTAAATACTCGCGTCTGCTCAGAGTACAATAATAAAACAAGCGGCGGCATGACTAGTCAGTCAGCAGGCGCCGGTCGGCTTAACATCATCGAAGTGTCATCAATCCCATTTCCCGTCGCGACTAACAGATATGCCGTAAGGGGATGCGTCTGTGGCCAGTGGTAGGGTCTTGGCCGAATCGAACGGTACGAGCACCCTGGGCGAGCACATTTCGGCTTTGACAGCCTCGAAGGCGCGACTCATGTCCTTCGTCCAGATGAAAGGT